TCATGTAGTTCTTTCCCCATAATTTATTTATATGGTGGATTACATTGATTATTGTTTTAATGTGGAACCATCCTTGTGTATACGGTATGGATTCCACATGATCATGCTGTATTGCTATTTTTTGATAATTGGTTGGATTCTATTTGCTAGAGTTTTTGAATCTGTGCGCAGAAGGGATATTGGTATGTAAATTTCTATTCTGGTCATGTCTTTGCTGGTTTGGGTATCAGGGCTATGTCCACTTTGTCAAATGAGTTTGGGGGTTTGCTCTCTTTTTCTCGCTTGGAATAGTTTGAGTAGAATGCCTCTGTGAATGCTTGGGAGAATTCCTCAGTGATACCATCTGGCCCTGGACTTTTTCTTGTTAGTTTTAAGTGACCTGGTGTAGTTCTTTTGTTATGGGTCTGTTGAGGTTTTCTACATCACTCTGTGTTAATTTAGGTAAGGAGTGTGTTTCTAGGAGTTTGTCCATTTTATCTAAATTTTCAAATTTGCTAACGTATAGTCTTTCATAGTATTGTGCTATTAAGTTTCATATCAGTTGATTCTGTGGCAATGTTGCCCCTTTTATTTCTTATTTCTAATATATGCATCTTCTTTTCCTTTGTTAAAATTTCATGTTCTGATTCATTTATTTATGCTTTATTTTCATTATTTCTTTTCTTCTTGTGCTGAAGATTTCTTTAGCTGCTCTTGTTCTGATTGTTGAAAATGTTGGGTTAAGGTGCTGATTTTGATTCCTTTTTTTATATGCGTTATTGCTTTAAATTGCTGTGTACTGTTTTTGTTTTGCTCCCAAAGTTTTGGTATATTATATTTTTATTCTTACTTATTTCAAGGAATTTTAAATTTCACTCCTTATTTCTTCAATTACCCAGTAATTTAATCAGGTTGTTGTTCAGTTTCTGTGTACTTGATTTTTTTCCCCCCTTGGTCTTCCTAATGACTTTTAATTTGATATCACTATAGTCTAAGAAAATGGTGTGTAATATCTCAATTTAAAAAATTTATTAAGGCTTGCTTTGTGTCCCAACATTTGTTGTATTTTAGAGAATGGTCCATGCATGCTGGAAAAGAATGTATGTTGTGCTGTTATTGGGTTGAGTGGTCTGGATATGTCTTGGGCGGTCAAGTTGGTTAACTCTGTTTA